ACACTTTAAAAAGAAATTTTTCCTCACCATTTCAGATTTTCCTAAAATTTGGTATACTTATACTATGTACTAAGACTAAGAAAAATACCAATTTTTAAATTTTTATCTCACACCGTTTCCGATATATGGCTATGTAAAGTTTTTAAAAACTCGCGAAAAAAGTGGGAACGTTTATTTTTTAAATTGCGCTGGAAGCTGTCCTAATTTAGTTAGAAAGCTGGGGGAGGTGTCATTTTGCAGCATTTTAAATGCTCTTTCAAATGACATACGACTGCCAAGGGTATTAATGAAAAGATTTTGTTCAAAATCCATATATATATTTTGATTTAATTTTTTTTTTAAAAGTACATAATTTAAAATTCTCAAAATATTTGTATAAATACTTGGTAGTGTTCTGAATCATATAATAAAATATTAATGTGGGGTCTTAATGGGTTCATTGTTAAAAAAAATATTTCTGATGCTGGTTTTTCACTTTTAACTAATTTTGACATTATTCAACGTTTATCAGGCTTAAGCCTGACAATTGTATTTTTTTTTATAATATCGGCTGTCATCATTCCCGACTTGTGTAATTTAATTACTTTGATACGCTTGTTTTGGCGATTCATATTGAACTAAATTTTAAACAAAACAACATAAAACGAATATTTTCAAAAATATAAGGGTTCTAAGAACCCTAATAATATCGGCTGCCTACATTCCCGACTTTTTTAATTCAATTACTGTGATACGCTTTTTTTGGTGATTCATATTGAACTAAATTTTAAACAGAACAACATAAAATGAATATTTTCAGAATTGAAAGGGTTCTAGGAACCTGCTCGAGCAAACAATTTCCGCGAAAACCTTATTGATAAATTTTAAACTCGCTTAAAAAAAAATTCAGGGAACTTTTATCGGACCCTGTATATATTCGTAGTTTATTTAAAAATAAAACTATAAATGAGGTGTGTTTAAAGTGATTTTGGTGTCAACATGGAGCCTACTATTGTAATAGTGCAGTGTTATAATCCAATGAAAAAAAGAAATCATTTTATTAGAGACAGAAAAAAACTGAGAAAAGTCCCAGCATGGATGACTGGATTATTTCCACAAATGCCTATTGGCTCCATGATTTGTTATACCTGCAGGAAAGATGTAACGAAAATGTCAAAATTAGTTAAGTGAAAAACCAGCAACACAAATATTTTTTTTTAACATAAACCCATTAAGACCCCACATTTATATTTTACTATATGGTTTAAAACAGTACTAAGTATTTATACAAAATATTTTGAGAATTTTAAATTATGTACTTTTTGAAAAAAAATTGAATCAAAATATATATATGGATTTTGAACAAAATATTTTCATTAATACCCTTGGCGTTCGTATGTCATTTGAAAGAGCATTTAAAATGCTGCAAAATGACACCTCTCCCAGCGTTCTAGCTGAATTAGGACAGCTTCCAGAGCAATTTAAAAAATACACGTTCACACTTTTTTCGCGAGTTTTTAAAAACTTTACATAGCCATATATCGGAAACGGTGTGAGATAAAAATTTAAAAATTGGTATTTTTCTTAGTCTTAGTACATAGTATAAGTATATCAAATATTAAGAAAATCTGAGTTGGTGTGGTAAAATGGGTGTGTTGAGTTGACATGGACTGACCCTATATGTTAATCAACTCGAAATATATTTACATAATAAATTCGTAACCCAAACATCAAGTCGTTCACAATAAAAGGAGGTAGATAATGTCTTAAAAATTATCGCAAAATTTTTTAGTGAGCTTACTTTATTTTTTAACACTTATAAAACTCAATTTGTACAATTTCATGTTAGACAAAAATCATGTAAACCAATCACTTTTAATGAATCTATCAATAAATCAATACCGGCTTAAAATGGTATAAAATCTGTATAATTTGGATTTTTTAAATGAAATTTAAAATTTGTCAATAAACTATGGTATATAATAAATTGCATCAATTACATTTATATTATATTTATTGGGGGCACCATGGGGATGGTACGGCCGAGGAAAAAGTTATCTTTTTTTCGAAAACTTCAATTTAAATTCTGATTGCGCAGAACTCCTTTATTTCATGTCATTATAAACTTATATAAATTTGGTGTGGGTCCCATATCTAATAATTGAGATATCGGTATACCCAAAATCCACCAGTCGCCACTGTCCAAAGCAGGAAATTAACTGTTCGCCGAATTGTTTTCGAATCTATCAATAAATCATTACCGGCTGCAAAGTTCTTGGGTCTAACATTGGATAAAAATCTCACTTTTTCAAGTCACTGTCAACAAATTGTAAATAAGCTAAATTCGTTGGTATTTTTGTTTAGTAACCTAAAAACGGTGCTTAACAGTGACCAATTCATCGATTTGTACTATGCTCAGGTTGAATCACGCTTAAGATATTGTGTATGTTTCTGACGTAATGCCGCATCCGCTCAGGATGTATTTATATCTCAAAAACGAATTATACGTTGCATTTTTGGACTCTCAAACAAACATACTTGTAAACAAGTATTTAGAGAATATAATATTAATAACACTTAGTTTGATTTTTAAACACTTTATTTGATTTAAATTAATTTAACAACAAAAACAGCTTCTCAACGCAAGCGTTCGATAAATACTGAAAATCCAACGATTGCAAGCGGTCCTCGTAACATCTCAAAAACAATTGAATCATCCGTAAATGCGTGACGCAACCTTCGCGCTCGCCTTTCCTGACTCATGAAATTCACGACCTGCTAACACGGCCAGACTGACCCGGCTTTCGTTCTCGAAGGCCCACTCTTCCAGTGCTGTCATCGTCGACCGGGATAATTTCCTCTTCCTGTTCATTATCGGTCAACAACAAAATGCAAATAATCAACCACATGTCAACCCACCGCAATCTTATAGATCACTTGGTTCTTTACATATCGACCCACCGCAATCTTATAGATCACTTGGTTCTTTACATATCGACCCACCGCAATCTTATAGATCACTTGGTTCTTTACATATCGACCCACCGCAATCTTATAGATCACTTGATTCTTTACATATCGACCCACCGCAATCTTATAGATCACTTGATTCTTTACATATCGACCCACCGCAATCTTATAGATCACTTGATTCTTTACATATCGACCCACCGCAATCTTATAGATCACTTGGTTCTTTACATATCGACCCACCGCAATCTTATAGATCACTTGGTTCTTTACATATCGATGAAGCTCAACATACCTTGACTCTCAGCCTCAAAAAGGTCTAGCAAGTCATCCAGCTCAGTTGCCATCGACCAATCGGTCGGCCAAAGACGTAGCTGCTCTCTAGCTGCCTTTACAATTACTTTCCGGCCTGGTCCTATACGTTTCAGCTCATATCTACCCTCACCGGTAATACCAACAATCAGATGCGGACCCAACCATTCAAAGTTTGTCTTGCTAATGTGCAGTTGACTTGCTCTATGTAACAGAACATAGTCACCAACTTTGAACTGCACTCCCTTGGTACTTTTTTCGACTTGTTGTTGTTCGTCCTCTGGATCGGGTCTCAATCGCTCCGCCATTCGCTTCCGATCGATATCCAACGAGCGAATTGGAGTAATATCTCTGGATATCTCATTTAGAGCGGCTTGTATCAACGGTGTCGCTCCATTTATGCCAATCAAACCTTGCAAAGGACTCAATTTTGTCGATTTTTGGATAGTTGAGTTCAACACCAGTTGAATTTTCCACAAGGAATCAGACCACTGATCCTTTACATTCATCTCCACCCTCAGCAAAATCATGATAGTTCGCATGTAGCGCTCCACTTGGCCATTGGAACGATGAATGTCCGGAGTAATGTAATGGTAACGAATATTCCACTCATCCAGTAACTCACACAGACTCAGGTTGTGAAAGTTAGTGCCACCATCCATAACAATCAGTTGTGGTGTACCAAAGCAACCAATAAAAGTGCACATCGCTTTCTTTGTCTCGTCCGCTTTTACGGTTTTCAAAGGGATTAAATTGCAGTACTTTGTAAAAGCATCGACCAGAACTAGCACATATTTATACTGCTCTTGCGTCGCTGGCATCGGGCCTAAACAATCCGCATGGATCGTATGCATCGGTATTATTGGCTTTTCCACTTGACGAACATCTTCATGCAACGGTCCACTACGAGTTTTCTTAATTGCACAAATCAGGCAGTGTCGAATATAACTTTTGGCAAAGTTTCTTAGTCTCGGGAACCAGAAGTGTTTTAAAATCGAATCAATGGTTTTGTCCAAACCCACATGGCACTGTTCATCGTGAAATAGTCGCATTAATCCTAGTCTACTGTGCCTTGGCACAAAATATTGCAGTTTTCGTTCCTTGTTTCGGTTCGCGGTAACATGATATAGCAAATCTCCTTTTACTTCGTACTGGTTCGGATGAAGACAATCGGTATGGTCGTCTGTCTACGATGTTGTTATCCGTCAAGTGAATTTCCATGGAAGCATTATTTATACTCCCCACCACAACAGTACCTTTTGACAGAAACGACGAGAAATTTTCCAATACTTTTACAACGGCCGCACGATTTTCGTCTGGAACGACGGTTGTAGAGCGCCAGTCTGGATTATGATCCTCAACTGTTGCCGCTAGGACTGTTGGTAGCTGTCGATTTATAATTTTCGTTCATTTACAATCAGTAACTGCAGCTAGGGGGGTGTCAAAAATAAATTGCATCCAATCAACACATCGTAATCCAAATTAATAGCTGGTACCACTGCAAATGTCAGCCTTGTCCTTTGTCCAGTTATTTTAACATCAGCTTCAAATTTGTGCATCGAAATTAAGCAGCTTCCTCGAGTAATTCCTTTAATGGACAAAAAATGAGGTTCCATTTTGGTTTTGAATTTGTCAAAATATTTGTCGGAAATGAGCGAAATATCTGCGTCAGTATCGACCAAACCCAAGTAAATTTCACCGTCGAGTTTGACTGGTAAAGGAACTGCCTCCATTTGGATCTACGCCTTGTTTACCGTGTTCTTCCGTTTTTCAATAGCTCGCTTTGTAAAACAATTTGATTCCTCATGACCGGGTTTGAAGCAGAAATCGCACTGTAAACGGTCTTTTTTCTGATCTCTGGTTGGAGCAGGTTTTGGTATTTCGGTGCGTGTATTATTTGGACAATGACGCTTGACATGGCCAACTTGGTTACATTGGAAACATTTAATTTCTTGTTTGGACGGTTTTCCCTGGCTGTGGTAACGTTCAATGCGCGCCCTTTTGGCTGGCGGTTCATTTGTACTCGCATGCGGTTTTATAGCAACCAATACTTTTGGTACAGTACTTACGTAAGCAATTAAATCAGAAATTTTATCGAAATTACGCATTCCAGCAGATTCTCGAACTTTATCATCGGTAATTCCATACACAATTAACTCAATAAGGTCGCTATCGGACCATGATGCTCTCAATTTTTTTAGCAAGGACAATTTCTGGTGCACGTATGTTGTGTAAGAATTAAAAGAATCACTTGTAAGCGCTGCAGCCTCGTTAAACAAACGTCCCAGAATTTGTCTTGCAGGAAAAGCTTCTACAAAATCCCTTTTAAACGATGCCCATGTACGATTAAAATTATTCCAATTTTCATACCAGTTTTTGGCCTCATCCGATAAATACCTTCTCAAACGTACCAACAATTGTAGATCGGACCACTCAAACTCCGTTTTTATGCTTTCTACCTGTTGGCACCAATTTTCGGCATTGTCTGTTTCATGATGAAAAAACGGCAAATCCACCTGCTCTGGCGTTGGCTTGGATTTCGACAATTTTGTCAACACGTCCGTTAGTAACTGCTCCATATGGCACAGGCACAATTCCACTTCTGATAATAACACTTAGTTTGATTTTTAAACACTTTATTTGATTTAAATTAATTTAACAACAAAAACAGCTTCTCAACGCAAGCGTTCGATAAATACTGAAAATCCAACGATTGCAAGCGGTCCTCGTAACATCTCGAAAACAATTGAATCATCCGTAAATGCGTGACGCAACCTTCGCGCTCGCCTTTCCTGACTCATGAAATTTACGACCTGCTAACAATATACTCTATATGTACACTCAGGTGCAAAAAATTAGATTCATTGCTTATTTTCCATTTATTTTTACTTTTAAAACTCTGATCTTGTTATATGGTATATATAAATTTAGATAAACCCTCGTATAAGTAAAATATATTAATTTGTATGCATTCTTTTTGCATTTCTTTTAAAAAATGGGGAAATGAGAAAAATGTTTTTGTTAAGAAATTTACTCCTGATGAGTAAAAAGATATTCATTGTTTATCGAGTTTATTTTAAAGTCCACACCGATTTAGTATTAAAACGTGTTGCGTTCTTAATTTTAATTGCATTAAAATGTCTTTAACACCGACGGATGCTGCCAGGGTAGTGGCTTTAGTTCTAGATGGTCGTAGCCAATATTATACGGCTGAGGTGCTAGGTGTTAGTCGTTCTGCGGTTCAAAGAGCTATTCAGCGGTTTAATGAAACCGGCAATTACACTAGGAGACCTGGATCAGGCCGTAGAAGGGCAACATCCGAGCTGGACGACCGAATTTGGTCTCTTCATGTTTGAGAAATAGGCATCTAACTTCTGTTGAGCTGGCAAATCGTCTGAACGAAGTGAGGAATGTTGGTGTAAGCAGGTGGACAGTTCATCGACGACTTGCTGAAGGTAATTTATTGTCCGTGGAACATCGCAGAGCTCGACTTGCTTTTGCAAGAGAGCACGAAAACTGGAATGACGCAGATTGAAGCAACGTATTGTTCTCAGATGAGTCCAGGTTTTGTTTGAGATCACCAGATGGCCGCGAAAGAGTTTGGAGAAGACAAGGAGAGCGATTTTCACAATGCAATATTGCGGAAAGAATAAGCTACCGAGGGGGCTCAGTTATGGTTTGGGCTGGTATAACTTCCAAAGCCCGTACTGATTTGGTTATTGTGGATAGAGGTTCTATGACGGCTGAAAGGTACCTTTTGCTCCATTCATAGGGGCCAATTTTGTTTTTATGGACGATAACGCGCGTCCACACCGTGCTAGGATCGTCAATGAATATTTAGAAGAGGTCGGGATTGTCCGTATAAATTGGCCAGCTTGCAGTCCTGATCTCAATTCAATTGAACATCTATGGGACATACTGGGAAGACGAATTCGAGCACAGGTACCCCGTCCAAACAACTTGGCTGAGCTTGGTGTCGCGATTCACGCAATATGGGAGCAATTGGACCAAATTGATGTTCAAATTTAATTACCTCAATGCCGAGACGTATGCAGGTTGTTATAAGGGCCCGAGGAGGAAATACTAGGTATTAATTACCATATTACATAAGCCACATTTTATTATAACAATTTTTATATAAAAGAAATCCTCTTAATTTTTTCATATTTTGGAATAATGCCAAATTACTCTATAAATAAATATTTTTTTGTATAAATTGTGTTTCTTATTTAAACTTAATAGTTTCTTATACATTTATACCCGATCTAAAACTTATATCTCCAAACCCTTTTCTTCTTCGCTATAAAATACATATGGATCGAATTTTTTGCACCTGAGTGTATACGTTTTAGTGTATATGTTTTAAATAATAAAAACAAATTTTCGAAAAATTGCGATTATCACAATTTTAATACCAGACAACCTAAACTATGTTCTCATGTTCGTCTTAATATTAGATATTATGGGTCCTAGAGCCTTTAACTTGCTACCTCACAGTAATAAAGCAATTTCCAAAATTAATACTTTTAAATATGAATTAAAATTGGTTTTAACATCTAAATGTTTGTATACATTATCAGAGTTTTTTACTTAATGTTTGTTTGTAAATTTTTAGTGCTGTCTTTTAAAACTTTCTAGTTTTTAGTTTTTGGTTTTAAGGTTTAGTTTTTTGACTATATCAACACATTTATGTATGTTCGATGGAAATAAATAAATATTATTATTATTATTATTATTATTATTAACAATTTTAAATGTTGAATATTGTCCATAGCTATAAGTAGCTATGGCTACATACTTATAAAATGCGATTTTTTTGTTCTTATTTCTGACATTCCCTGTAAAGAATTTGAAAAATTATTAGTTTATTCAAAATCAATTGTGAGTTGGTTATGATCAGCTTCATAGATTAGATGAAGTATCAGCTTTCAAATAAATATCTTTTCAATAATGATGAAAAAAATGTAACCTTTTTTTAAAAATTTGTTTAAGTCAAAAAGTAGTACTCAGAGTACTTGTTTAAGGAGAGCTGCAAATACCCCCCCTACTAAACAATCCGTGGGTTATTACGATCTTAATTGTTTAAAATGTATTCAAAAAGTCATTTAAATAAACTAACATTTAAATCTAGCGGGAGTAGAAATGTATTTGACGGAGAGTGCCGAACGATTGGCGTAAACGGGCACTCCTGTTTGTTTGGTGGGGAAAGTATGGGGGGAAGAATACGGCATTCATGTCGGGAAGGGAAGAGCGAGGATCATTCGAGAAGAACCCGTGCAACGAAGAAGAGGTGTAAATTTGGTGAATGTTAAAGTGTTAAAGTGTAAATTTGTACATCTTAACACATTTTAACTAAATTATTTTAGTATAAATATTCCCGAACATTTTGTTATAATTAGTTTACACAAATGCCTTGTGTAAAGCTAAATATTCGATCATTTGACTTGGCGTCATCGATCGGTCTATTCCGCAATGATGGCTGCCGTTTTAAATAAACCACGTTTGTAATCGGAATGATATAAATTTACGTTTGAACCATCTTGCAATATAATTTAGATTCTTAATAATAAATAATTGGTACTTGATTGTATCTAATTAAAAGGGCAGGGTTTTATTTGATTTTATCCAATTAAAAGTTCAGGGTTGTACTGGATTTTATCTAGCTAAATGTCAGGGTTGTATTTGAGTTTATTTAATTATTTTAATAAATACTTCTTGAAGGGGATTTACCATAAACGCTGTGTAAATTAAGTGTAATTGATATCGATTTTCTTGAACACGGGATTTATTAAATTGTACTCGCAGATTTACATTTATGTCCCGTAATTAGTTAGTTACCAGTCATATTTAATTATTTGGTATTACGTTTGGAGTGAGTAGCAACAGTAATTGTGCGATAGCGGCATTAAATTTATCACCACTGTCCGTGTAGTCCTGATATTAAGCCCATTTTGAATTACTACCCTGTAAAATTTAAGAGGTGCTTAAAGGTCTGGATTCATCTGAATGCGCAATGCAGACATTGCCTTTTGTGATTTGGTCAAATTATTACCTAATATTTTATGGTAATTATTAAGTTATTATAAAGTTTGCTGACTAATGAGGCATAATGGGCAATTGCGGACCCTCGATTGGAATGACCTCGAAGCCGATTATTATTTACTCCTTATTATAACAGTAGATTGAGCCTGAACTCTAATAAATATTACATGAAAAATTATGTAACAGTAAACTTAAATTCAACAGGTCCGGTTATTGTGTTTCAGACGAATATAGTAGAAATCTACTTATTATGCGCAACCACTATTGCATGATGTATCACTAATACATCTCGCTTATGTGGCACTATTCATTAAGTATGTATGTTGACACTGGCTGCATGCAATTTGAGACTTGTGGAAATATATGAGCCCAAATGGCCCATGATAAAATTTAGCTTATTTACTGGAATTCTTTGTTGGAGCCAGGATTGTTCTGTCAGGACCGTCACAGAATTTCCGTGGCCCTCTGCTAAGCAGCTCCTGCTTTGCGAGGCCAAATCCGCTGAACCCACAATTTTCTCATTTGGAAGAGGGAACTGAGCTCAGCTCAGTGATCTTATTTTGCCGCATGATGAAAAATAAAGACGGGGCTTCGTCATTCTAATGCCATATTTATTACGTCAGTGTGATGTCAAGATGTTTACGTCATATTTATGACATTTGTTACGTAAACATCTAACGTAAGGAAGTGTTAACTAATGACTCTTATATGACTCTGGTGTAACGTAAATCTTATGTGGCATGGCATGGCAATGGCATGATGTCAGTGTTACGTGAAGATGTTTACGTCATATTTATGTCATATTTATTACGTCAGAGTCTGACGTAAGAAAGTGTGAAATAATGGCTCTAATATGACAGGTGTGACCTATATCTTACGTAAGCGTGACCTGACATGACGTCCTATTTACGTCATATTTACGTAATTGTGTTTACTGGGTATAGAGTGTCCTAAGTGCAAGGTAATTACTAAAGCCACTGCAGTTACGAATTATAAATCCTGACATGCGATACGCAGAACAACAAATATTATTTATGTGAGTATCGAACACGTAAGCGTGACCTGACATGACGTCCTATTTACGTCATATTTACGTAATTGTGTTTACTGGGTATAGAGTGTCCTAAGTGCAAGGTAATTACTAAAGCCACTGCAGTTACGAATTATAAATCCTGACATACGATACGCAGAACAACAAATATTATTTATGTGAGTATCGAACAAGAATCTCTGGTTAAAATAAATACCTAAGTTTTTAACCTCTGTTTTTTTTCAATATTTAGATTTCTAAGGGTATAATCAAATTTGATAATGTTTTTTTTCTGGCTAAACTTATAATTTGATATTTATCAATATTTAAATGCAAAAGATTTCGCTCACAGCAATTATCCAGTTTCACCAATTGTTCCTGTATAAAATTACAATATTCTTGAGATGCTAAATAATTTAAGATCATCAGCAAACAAAAGTTTTTTACTTTCAATTTTGT